CACTGGAAGCTGTTGCTTGATTTTCTTATGTTCTAGAATTTGTGATACTCATGGCCTCACATTCATGACTATAAATTAAAAACTTTTCCATATATTTTTTACTATTTGCATAAATCATTGTTTTCGATATTTATATGAACTAAAAATATTTCAGATTACTACATTTGTTATGAAATCGTGCATAATGGTATGCAAGCACTTTCAACTAAAGCCTAAATCAAAGAGATGAAAACAATCTTAGTTTATTTTTTACTCATCCACATCAACCTAACCTACCCCTAGTATTGATGATGCTTGTTTTGCAACTCAGGAGTGAAACTAATGATCACTTGTCTTTTCAATGCTAGTTTACAAAACAAGTATGGCAAACTGTTTGTGACATGGAAGGAATTCCTTTATTTTGTTCTTGGCAAGGGCTATTAGCTTGGATGGGGAAAGGGATTAGAAGGAAGTCTCCATACTGTGCTCTTACCAAACTTGCCTAGAATGGTATTGTGTATCATGTTTGAAGAGAGAGGAACAACAGAATTCATAGGTAGCAGTTCAAATTCGTTTCACAAATTCATCTGTGAATGATATTCTTTTTGATGTGAGGAACAAGGTTTTAGCTTTTGTAGCACCAAAGTCCTCTTCATTGCCATGTCTATAGCATTGCAGTGGGGGGTTTGTAGAGGTTCTAAAATCACTAGTTTAGTCTTAGATAGATGAATTATTTCTTTGATTGGAGTTGTAATTGATTGTAGTAGCAAATGACTTACTGCTTATGTGTACATACTAGTTTTATTGGATAAATAAAACTTTACATTTCATAAAAAAAAAAAAAAGTTTCAAATAAAACTTGAAACATACTTGTTATTCCAAGACATTTTGATGCAAATAAGGAAGAAAATAATATATTTATTAGGGTTTTATTATGATTATAAATATAGAAGAATTAAATGGAAATATTACTAATAGCTTATATTTATTAGGATTAGTTATTACTTTTCAAAATATTCAATTGGGAGTCTAATTAGGAAGTAAGTCTAATTTGGGTTTTAGCTTTTATATTTAAATGTAGGTTGTATTAAGGTTATTCAGTTGAAGTCTTTATGAATTGAAATTATCTTCTAGCAATCCCTAATTCTGCGACTCTTTTCCCACCCTTGCTTCTATTTCTAAGTTCTATCCTCACCTTTGCTTTCGGTTCTACATTAAATTAGTATCAGAGCTACCAAAATCCCACAAACTATAAGCTTCAATTTCCTTAAAAAAAAAAAAAAAAAACAAACTGAGCCAATCCATAGATTTGTGAGATCCAACATTGTTTTTTGGGAACTGATGCAGGAGCATTTGAATGGACAGTGTCGGAATTCAGAATCCATTTTTTGAGGTTTGTTTTGATAGGTCAAATGGCTTGAAATTGATTTTCTAGTTTAATGGAGTGAAATCATGGTCTCTTCTTTTACAGAGTTGTTGTTGATAGAATGATTGAAGGAAGTTGGGTATTCCCTCAAAAACCCTCCTTCCTCAATTGATGAACCTTTCTCTATCTTGTTACAATTAAGGAATTTCCATTCAAAAGTGGAACAAAAGCCATGTCCATACTTAGAAAAGGCACTACATCCATCAAAACAAGCTTTGGTTTTAGAACAACTTTTTCATCATTCACATGCCTTTGTTAGAATTGTTGTTGCAGCTTGCATTCGTGGGATAATGAGAATTACTGCTCCAGATGCTGAAATCCCAGCAGCTACCCCAAGCCAATTCCTAAGATATAAAACTCATTCTATTCCTTTATAAAAACGTGAATGAAGTTTTCAATATATATGTA